CACAGACGACACATCAGCTGGGTCGGAATTGATGCTTATTAATATGAATAAGAAACTTAACGAGAATAACTTGATCCAAACACATGGACGCATTAATCTGTACTTCATTCACACGAGTAATAAAATAATGTTTATTCCACAGACGACACCGCAGCTGGGGGCGGAATGAATATCTGCACGCATATATGTGTGACAGAACTCGAATTTTGTGATATATATATTTTTTTGAGAACGCAGTAGTGGCTGGACTTGAAAGATCGGACTTCGTTATAAGATATAGTTTTGATGATATATATTATGTTATAATATCATAGAGGCTAATAACCTCTGCGCTCGAGTAAATCGTTTGCGTCTTATTGGGGGCTCGTGCCCCTAGATAGTCGTGCTTTTGAGGCGTAACTGCCACCCCGTTTCTGTGTTCTTGGCAAGTCGGGCTCGAACCCCTGATCATTGCATTGGTTATCGGCATCGTTGTGCAACTCGTACCTGTACCCTTGCTATCCGCTTTTGTGGTCGTCGACAGTTTATTAGGACTCATCATGTTGTATCTTTGAAGTTGAGATCCTGTCCCCCGGAGCTTTTGGACTTATAGTGAATAATAAATTGTGTGCCTTGTACAGTGGAATTTGTGTATCGCCCGAAGATCACCAATATACTACGAAAAGTTCCTTGTGTTCACTCCTCCTCTCTCCAACGCAAGGGAATTTAGAGCCGGACCAAAGAACGACTCTTTAGCCCTTGTGTTGTTAGGGTTTTATAGAGCAGATTCTAATTCATCAAGTTTTTTTATATTCGACAAGTAATTTTAGGTTTAGAGAAATCTGTTTGTTACGTGCACGGGTTAGGAATAGCAGGCTTGTCATTGTTGTGCGGAACCGTGAAGGAGGTGAGTGTCGTGTGTAATCAGGGTGTGTGTAAATAGGCGTGAAATCTTAGGCTTTAAACTATGGTGGAAATATATTCTGTGTTTGTCTAAAATTAGGATATTCAATTATGTATTTATGTATTTATTTGTATTTATTTATGAGTCCATTAGGTTGCACTGGTTGATTTGTTATTGATGTATTTTCAGGGAAGCCTCGAGACTTAAGAATTACACCTTTTAACTACGAACTCTCGTATGAATTGAGCCCTGGGAGAAGGGGACAAAGGGGGTTGAAGGACGACACGAGCCATAAATGATCAAGAGTGTTTGGACCTAGCTGGCTTAAGGATTGAGCCCACAACAGTGTTAAAACCAATATGGAAGTCACCGTCAAGTCTGCACGCTACCCATAATTATTTCGACTTCGCGGCGGTGTTTCTGGTTACATATGCATGAAATTCTAATTCTGAACGCTCAACTCAGAGAAATGGGAGGTTTATTGTTTAAATAATGATGCACTTTCTGCCCTTGTATAAATCATCATCATCACCCATTTCGATCAGACATATGCTGGTGCACCCATAGCAGCAATACTTAATTTAAATTCGTTGGCGGTAAAGTGCAGCGCCATGAGCGGTGTTGTGAATATCTTTTTGTGTTCCATATTCATTGCAAAAACTGCATCGAGGTATCGTGCACTCAGAAAAATGAAAGGCTTATGTAGTCCAAATAACGATACTATCTCACCCATGGCATAAGCAGAAAGCGGTCGCAGCATTGACACGCCATTTTTTAAGCTAAACTGTATACAGGATGACCCGCAAAAGAGCAGAAATTATATCGCAATTTGGACAAAATGCCTCGCTCATTTCTCGAAGTGATGTGTCAAACTCTGCGTTATTGCTTGGATAAAGAACCACATTCGCAGAGACGCGCAATACCGAGACGAGTAAAAAGAGTGAAACATCTTTTGAGAGGATGGAAGGGACCATTTTTCACAAATATCTCCCTCGGTCTTTTTTCGAATAGTCCTCTGTTGATGACACGCTTTTAATAACAAATTATGAACATTGCATGGAACTTGTAATGAGCGTTGATATTCAATTGAGGAAACAATGACACAGTAATAACAATAATTATAAAGTTTCAAATCTTGCATGTATTCGACTATGCAACTTACTTTGATTAGCAACGACCGCGTCGTCAAATGAGGCGTCACACACGCGGATGAGTTCCCCTCCCTGCTCGTCGAGGGTCTCGGTGCAGAGGAGGTCAATAACGTTGAGGTCAGAGAAGTAGCAGGTTGAGGTGGTCAGTAAAGTGCAGTTGCTGATATTGTAGTCGGCGCCCACACCCCTTACCATTGTTACCTGCGCCTCCTTCAAACGATCCATGAAAAGAACCTCAGGTTTTACTGTAAAAAATGTTCGAATTATACATGAAAAACTTATTAAAATGCACATAATTTGTAAGAATTAAATACTCTCACAACTCTTAAGCTATGAATTCAAGTTTTCTTTGGTGGCGGGATAATGATGATTAGAGAAGCGGATATTTTTTTCCGCCGCGTGAAAATTGTTGTGTGTTTTAGGCATAAATCAGTGCTTTGTTTTCTTAATTTCTATTGCCATTTTTTAAGTAAACAAGTATGGGATAACAACGTTCGAGCTTATTTAAGGTTGAGGCTGCGGCTGAAATTCATTAAATATATTTTACAACTTGCTAGAATACTTTTCTGTCATGAATATTGGTTTACTTAAGTTTTAGCATGGTAACCGCATTATTGTGCCCTTATTCTGTAACTTACTAAACATGCGAAACTTGGATGAAGCCCTCAAGCTTTCGGTGAAGACCTGATATGTTTGCAATGTGTCGTAGCTCAGCGTGTCGGGATCAACTTCAACAGCGCCGCAGAGAAGCCCTCCATTAGCTGGCTCAGCGCAGCCAGGCGAAATGAAGACGTTGGTTTCGTTATCATCGTACGCGAACGTGAAGGGAGTGCCGGTACACTCAATGGAAATTGTCTCGTAGGTAAAGTCTATTGGAGCAACATTCAACCTATTTGTCTTTGGATTAGTTGTGGTCGGCACGTCGTAGAAGCACACTTCGAGTTGTGTTGTGTTGCGCCATGTGAAGGATTCAAAGCTGGTGCTTGTCAACGCTGCTGGAAAAATTGCATGAAAAAATTTCAATGCATAGAAATAGGAACTCATACAATGCTTTGAGCTTGATATATTTGAACACGTACGTAAATTAAAGGAAGAGCCGCAAATAAATTTAAACATAAATCTTTAAGAAAATCATTACATGTTCCTCGCTCGTTTCTTTCTTTTTTTTTTTTTTTGTTCGCTTCCATCCTACTATTTTTTGATCGAGATATTTTGTTGGTTGCATCGCCTGTGACCCACAACTGATAATCTAGTGATAAGCGGAACGGCCATATCAGCAAGCCCGTCACTTGCACAGTTTTGCGTATTGCATGAACTTATGATTCTCAATTCCCAGCGCATCTAGATTTATATTCATTAGATTCCTTTTTGGATCCCAATATAGGGGTCTCGGGCTATTGAACCGAAAAAATGTATGAGCAAAGGAAGAAAATTCACCATATATTTTTACAAAACGTTCCAGAGTCTAGCTCCATCGTCAGTTGGAAAATTGTAGAATATAGATATAATATAAGTTGTTAGTACAGTCAAAATTCATAAACCGAAGGTAAAACCTAAATTTATAAATAGAGCTCGACGATGCAGCTGGACTCGAAAACGTGTTTTAAAAATATGTGGTAATTTTTTTTATTTCCTTCGCTTTTAAATTTTTAGCGAATCTGCAATTCAGGCAGTAGAGCCTGTTTATTAAGTATTAAACGAAGCTGAAAGAAACTTGGAACCTGAAGATTTTTAACGCAGCTTTGGAGAAGAGACGCTCAAACCTATACCGTTGCCCACAAACTGTTTAAAATTTCCTCCGTGTCTTAACATATGTCATCAAGTCTAGTAAGGAAAATAATGAGATGAAACGAATATTCCAACAACCTTACCACCATAAAATCGTATTAAATTTTATATTCGTGGTTAGCTTCTACGAACGAGAGTTTGCCGAAGGTAAACTTCATAATGCATTGATATCCTAATTTGTTTGTCAAGTAGAATGTTTTGAATCCACGATAAAATCCTCTCAATTTCTGCGCTCAACACAATCGAGTAAATATTCAATATAAAGTTTAACACGCTGATTCAGTACAATTCACCAACGTATTCTATCACAAACCTGACGCCGGTTGCCCAGCCTGAGCCACCGCGCAGAGCAGAGCAGACGCTGCTGCCCAGCACAGCAGCTGCTGCAGAGGCGTGCTTGTCTTCATGGAGTAGCGGTCTATCATTACCAGTTTATTGTGCTGGAACAAAAATTATATCTAACTAAAGCTCAATATTATCATAAACACGTATCTCGGCTCAATTTCATTGACGTATAGTAGGTTTGACCGGCGTAGCCCGAAATAGTTAATCCCGGAAAAGTTAAACTTCCTTATAAGGCCTAATTTCATATATAAAGGAAACTTTAACCTTTTATTTTTGAAAAAGCAACAAAAAAATATTTATTACACTAATTAATGCCACCTTCTTTCAATGTCTCATGATTTCAGCACTAAAAATTAAATTACCGAGTTATACCAAACATGATGAGTAAGTATTGTGGTGACAATACTCATCATGTGAGTGTATCAAGATACTCATCAATACTCATCATGTATCATGACAATACCCGATTAGCCTCTGTAATTCCGGTGCCAGGCTTCAAGCGCAGACTCACTTACCTTGACATGTATGTGTAAGGTTTTATTATCAACAGGTATTATTAACTGCCTTTACATTACTTTGTTAAAATGTTAGTTTTTATTTCATTTAATTTTACTCGGTCATTAATCGTGACAATTGGGCTAGTGAGACGCATCACCATGGGGACTATCTACGCAAAGTGTTCAGGGGGAGGGTCTAGGTAAGAAAATTGTTCCTCAATTTACAGATTTACAGATCTTCCTGAAACTTCTTACACTAAAGAAAAACACATAAACAAGCATATTTTTTCGAATTGATTTTTGATTAAAGTGACATTTCCTTGTTACTTTTTTAATTTCCTCTTTTTTGGGGAGAGGGGACTTTGTTACCTTCCTCCCCCTACTTATCCTATTTTATAAAAAAATAAACCTATCAGAAAAAGCTTCTTTAGCCGATAGATCATTATTATTAATTTTAAATAATATTAATAATTATTTAATTATATATAATATTTTAAAAAAATAATTATATAACTGTAATTATTTAAATTTACCTTTTTCTAATCATTCGATTTTGAATGATATGTCTTTCTACGTTGTAGCTCGTAAACTGGAGGATTGATTAACTTTGCAATTTGTGAATTTTAACTTATCCAGAGAGCCAAAACTGAAGCAATTAAAAAGTAAAGTTAAAGAATTTTTTTTCATTGCATGCGCCAGGGTAATCATTTTTGCACAGTTAATATATAGAGTGATTAATAATCTACAAGCATATTATCTATCCAGGAATACATGTACCGATAGTCAGAAAGTGTACATATTTTGCTAGATAGAAACTGCCTTGCATGAACAAACTGAGGTACAGAACTTACATTCGGTTTGTTGCATTGGAAGCACCTTGTTCACAGCTATAATATGAGCTCAGAAAACGAAACAACCTATTTTTATTTTTACACCCAGACCTTCCATTTATTTCAATGATGATTGGCATAATTTGATGGTTGATAATAATTGATATAAATTCTGAACACTCGCACCTATCTCACATCCTGTTTCGCTCAAGCCGAAGGCCACTCATTTGGCCTGCATGATATTGTACTCAGATTCTTGAGCACCATTACCGACTTGTAAGCGCGCTAATCCCAAAATCAAAACTTATTCCAAAATATTTGAACATAACGCGAAAACAACTTATTAAAATAAGTATTAAAATCAATAGCTACTCACATTTCTCACCGGGAAAATGGGAATTAGAACGAACTTATTGACACGCAATGTTTCAGGCCTGTTGTTCCTGCAATCGCTCATTAGCAAGTGGTAAAAGGAGAGATTAATATGCACGGCCACTGATTACTGGGCTGCTTTTTTGTTAATAAGTGAGATAGCCGTGCGAGTCTCTGTTCTGATCGTGAGCCATCGTGATAGGAAAGTTATCTTAGTCCATAGAACACGGCCTCAAATTTCGAAGGAAAAGCACATTAAATTTATTGCATTACACAGTCAAGCTATACGATGTTCCATGTATATACGAAAATGTCATACTTAAAACTCTTTTGACCACTTACCTTTCTCCTTTCCTATCTTAAAATATTATGGTCTTTAAGCCATTATTAACAAGTACTGGAATAAATTTGAGAGTATGATTTGATAAACTATCAAATAAGTGTGATTAGAAATATTGGATATACTCGTAACATAGGACTGAATTAAACTATCGAAATATTTTTGATTTCCTAATAAACATGAAGGATTTCTCACAATACTGGGGTGACCAGTTTTGTGAGAATACAATACTGGGGTGACTCACAAATTGATAATTTGTAAATTTATGTCTAGAAATTCATGTCATCTTAATTGATACTCTCACGAGAATTGCAACAAAGAAATTTGTAGCTGTGTCGATTATATTTAACAATCATTTCTCGATGATACTCATCACTAATTATCAAGGGTCACTTTAATCTGAGAGATATCTATAATGGCAATCAAAATTAATTTCATAAATTTCTGCTCTGAATGATCAACAGGTACACTGAATGATCCACTCGTCCACTGAATGATCAACTCCTGCACTGAATGATCGAATTGTGCTCTGAATGATCAACTTGTGCACTGAATAATCCATTCGTACCCTGAATGATCAACATGTGCACTGGATAATCAATTCGTACCCTGAATGATCAAATTGTGCACTGGATAATCCATTCGTACCCTGAATGATAAAATTGTGCACTGGATAATCCATTCGTGCACTGAATGATCAACTTGTGCACTGAATAATCCATTCGTACCCTGAATGATCAACATGTGCACTGAATAATCCATTCATACCCTGAATGATCAACATTTGCACTGGATAATCCATTCGTACACTGAATAATCCATTCGTACACTGAATGATCGAATTGTGCACTGAATAAAAGTCTGATATCATTTAGGTTTGAACGTTGTTCCCCGAGACGGAATTAGCGGTTGAAGTATACTATATTATGACGGTACATTCCATGCTCTCGCTTGCGCAAAAAGATAAATGGTTAAAAATGAACTTGAGTTACATCTTAAACTTGTGGTATGGGCCCGATGAAAAAAAAAACATGTTAGTCTGCTTCAGATGCACATCGTTGTAATGTTGTATCGAAGTCAAGTCAGTTTTTTTGTTGTACTTTAAAATGTCGCGTGCTTTTCGCAATGACATTTTTAATTTAATTTTTCTACACACTCCACAGTATGAAATTACCTCCAAGACCGCCTATCTTCCATGACCATATTTCATATTCCTTATTTCTGTCTTAGGCTCAGTTTTATAGTTGAATAATTAGTGGGTGATACTCCAGCTGGCTGGGATAGAGTTGATTAATTAAATGTCGATATCGGAATAAAAACTCTTTACATATATGCTCCTACGAACCAGGCCATTCAGTAAATATTAGCATGAGTGCTGGATAAATCTGTTTTCGTTGCATGAAAACGGTTTCCGAGTATTTAAAATAAATGGAAGAGCAGGGAACATTTCTTTCAAGAATATAATTAAATATTAACAGGTTAGTGTCGTTTGTTCTCGGAGAGCGTGGGTGTCGTCAGAGGTGTAAGGTTGTTCTCGAGATATCGAATGTTTTCATCTCATTGCTCTACCGCTCCATTTCATTGCTGATTCAGTTCATTAAAATGACGCAAAATTTACCGCTTGTACTGATTTCATATTGTTGAGATTATTTTAGTTTTGTACTGTTGTTTTGAAAAGTGTATTATTGATATAAGAAATGAATTAACTGAACTTCTCATTATTCTTTTTTGTCTTCAAACAATTAAAAAATCTATTCATAAAAGTTATATGTAAATTTGGACTTATTTAGTTCATTTGATCTAAAACGGATTAGTGTAATATAAAGTTCACAACATTTTATTCAAGTGCAAAAAGGAATCCTTACAAATAAAACATATTTATGCGAATTGTTGGAACAAATCAAGAAAAAAAGTTGCAAGTCCTCGTTTACAATGATCGACAATTTATTTCCAATAGTGTAACAAACCACCTAGCTCAGAGATTAAAAAAAAAAATAATTTTTCGTCATCCAGTAGAATAATAATGCCTGAAATGAAAATAAATTCATGGTTTTTTCCACTATTGAAAACACAAATATTTGTGTGTCATTGAGAAGATTTGAATTTTAATCGCGATGCGAGTAAACCCAATTTTTTCTTTACCATTTTTCCTTCACTGATGAGACATTTTTTACTGATAAACTGGTATTTAAGTCTGATTGAAGGTCATATTTACTGAAAAAATTGGGAAATCTATGAAAAATTGGAAAATCTATCTGAAATCTAATTTTTGTGCAAGAGAGCTTTTCGCTGATTGATGAGTGGTTTTCGAATTATTATTAACCATAGATATGTACAGTGCCAGGCTTCATTTAATGCTTAATTAAATTCATATTTAAATTAAAGCATTATTAATGAAAGTAATAATACTTAATTTAATTTAAATTTTGTGTGTAACTTTGTGTATCGGATTTAAAGAATTTCGTTCGGAAACAATTGTCCATAAACTTAGCGTACATAAATTCTTGTTAAAATACGTGAATACTACGTCACTGAAGGCTTTAAACCGCACCTACAGCAACTATCTGAAATATTTTCTACAATGATTTAATTTACAGTTATACAGGGTGCGGCGTGGGAACTTACTCTTTTAAAAAAATCACAAAGTAAAAAGTATTAAAGATAGCGTTTTAATTCTTTCTTTTTTACAAAGAGCTACATTTAAAGTTTCGTTGGGTTTACTTACAAGTTTAATTCTTGAATATTACATCTTGTAGGTGACCTCCATGCTGTTCAATACACAGAGACTGCGAACGCGCGCTCCTCTCTCGACCACTGCATGGTCGCAACTGAACTGAGTGGACGAAAAACTTCATAGCCCGCGCACCATATTGCGCATGGCGCCACCTTCCTAGGACTAATGGCCGCCACGTGGCGCGCAATTCAAATAAGTAAGTTCCCGCGCCGCACCCTGTATTTTGTTTAGTTGTTGGTATGTAACCTGAGTCTGGTAACATTCGTGTACCGGAGCCTTAGTCGAGTCGCTATTTCTTTCAACGTTAGATTTGAAAAGAACT